AGCCATATAGAAGAGGTTGGCAGAAGAGGAAGATTGATTGATCAAAGGGTCCAGACTTGGCTGACTAAAGCAGAAGAATTCATCACAGCGGCAGAGGAACCTGTACGAGTTGGTGATGAATTTGCCAAGAAGGAGTGTTTCTTTCGGCTGTGTCCCAATCCCATTCCTCGTTATAAGCTTAGCAAGGAAGCCGAGAAGAATTCCCAGGATATTGTTCAACATCTGGAAGTAGCTCGTGGATTCGGCCCCCTACCACTTTCCCACGCTCCTCCTCCACAACAGGACGTGGCGAGTGTTTCCTATGCTCCTCCTGCACAGCAAGACGTGGCAGCAGTTGTGGAAGGTTTTGAGGAGTTCCGCTCTAGAATGGATGTTTTGAAACATATCATGGAGGCACTAAGAAATCCAATCATCAAGAAGATCGGAGTGTATGGGTCTTCTGGAGTGGGGAAGACGATGCTTGTAAAAATGGTTAAAGCAAAAGCCAAGCAAGACAGCTCGTTTAATGTGGTAGTTATGGCTACAGTGACAAAGGATCGGGACTTGAAAAGTATTCAAGAAGACATCGCACGCGACGTGGGTTTAGATCAGCTTTCTTTTAGAGAGCATACAGATCGACAAGTTGCAGATTTAATAAAGGCAAAGCTGATGAAAGAGAGGAAATTTCTTGTTATTTTGGATGATGTTTGGGAGACTGAAATAGACTTCGAGAAATTTGGAATCCCTTCTACAAGTGAGATGCAGCAGGCTACGGAGAAAAAGAGTAAAGAAAGCTCATCTGGACAAGAAGATATGCTCTGCAAGATTCTGGTAACCTCCAGATTTCGTGATACTCTCTCTGTTATGATGGATGAGAAAGATCAGGTCTTTGAGGTACATACATTAGAAGATGATGAAGCATGGCATCTATTCAAGAATATCGCTGGCAGCAAAGTTGAAAGCTCTGATCTTCAACCGACAGCCAAAGAGATCGTTAAGAGATGTCTCGGGTTGCCCGTTGCTATTGCATCAGTTGGAAAGGCCATGAAAGGTAAGGCTCGGCAACATGAGTGGGAAACTGCTCTTATGGAATTGAAAAAGCCTACTCCAGAAGGGATATCTGCAGCTGTTCATAAGCCTATAGAGTTGTCCTACAAGTACTTACAACGAGATGAACTCAAGCAAACGTTCATGCTTTGTAGCTTGCTGGGCCATGACTCTTCCATCGATGACTTGTTGAAATATGGTATGGGCTTGAATCTATTTCAAAAGGTGAAAACAGTGGAAGAGACACGAAAGAAAGTACTGACTTTGGTTGACAATCTCAAACTCTCTTCTTTGTTGGTTGACGGTCACAGCAATCTGCATTTTGGTATGCACGATCAGATTCGGGAGGTTGCCCTGTCAATTGCTTCTAGGGACCACGGTGTATTGGCTTTAGCAGATGAAGATGGAGGAAAAGAGTGGCCAGAAAAGGAGACAATGGAAAATTTGAAGTGGATTTATTTGTCAAATGGTTATCCTGAGCTCATGAGCAATGGGTTGAAATGTCCGTGGCTCACTTTCTTTCATATGTCTTGCAGGGGTTGTTCTCTGGCAGTTCCAACAGATTTGTTTACTGGAATAGATGGGCTCAAAGTCTTATGTTTGACTAAAATTGATTTTCAGTCAATGCCTTCACAGATTCCCTTGATCCCAACAAAGCTTAAAACATTGCTTTTGGACCAATGTGTGTTTAGAATCGAAGCACTAGGCGCCATTATGGGAAATCTGGAGAATTTAGAAGTCCTCAGCCTTGCAGGTTGTGATATTGAAGAATTGCCAAGAGAAATGGAGAAGCTAACCAAGCTAAAGTTGTTAGATGTGAGTGACTGCACCAAACTGAGAGTAATTCGAGGACAAGTCTTAGCAAGATTGTCTAAATTGGAAGAGCTAAAAATGGGAAACAGCTTTGACCAGTGGGATGATGTGGAAGGACGAAATGCTAGGCTTGCTGAGTTAACAGAGCTGCGTACGCTCACTGCTTTAGAGGTACGTATTTCTAATTTCCGAGAAACTTTGTTTTCTGAAAATCTGGAAAGGTTCAAGATTTTCATAGGAATAGTGAGGAGGAGGGAGTTTTCGGGGCATTACTATTGGGACAGTTACTCCTGGAACAGCTCTTTTGAAAGCTCAAAAATAATGAAGCTAAAGCTACAGGGTGCAAGCATTAACTCAGTTAAAAAGTTATTGAAGAAGACAGAAGAACTGTATCTAGAGGGATTAAATGGTGTCGAGAGTTTAGTTGATGAGTTAGATGATGAAGGTTTTCAACATCTGAAGTGTCTCCATGTCCAAAATGCTCCAGACATTCGACACATCTTTAACCCAGCAGGGAGGTTGCTTCCTTCCCATGTATTTCCCATCTTGGAGGTATTGGCCCTTTTCAATTTGCGAAAAATGGAGAAGATATGTCATGGTCTGACTGGAGCAGCACCTTTTAAAGTATTAAGAAAGATAACCGTTTATAGTTGTCCTCAATTGAAGAATCTGTTCTCCTTCTCCATGGCCAGACAGCTTCCACTTCAAGAAATAACAGTAAGAGATTGCAACATTGAAGAGATTATTGATGACGTGGAGGAGCAAGGCAACGGAAATGATATCGTTGAAGAAAGTGAAGGATGTAAGCTTGCTGGCAGTCTGCGGTCGTTGACATTAGCATGGCTACCAAAACTGATTAGCTTCTTCAACAGTGGTAATTGCAGCGGCATCTCACTTTTCAACGATAAGGTACTTAATTCATTTCCTTTATTTTATTTCATTTTTTTGTTTCTTTGCGGAAGAGTAATTAGAAAATATAAAAAATTAATCTCATTGTCCCTTTTTCTTTTAATGGAGATTAACTAGGTTTCAAGTTTGGGCTAGGTTGAATAGCAATCCAATAGTTTTAGCGTTTTACATTTTTATAAAATTTTTAAAGAGTTACTTTAAATTATTTTAAAAGTGCAGATGGTTAGACATATTTAAAAGAAAAATGTATTACTCATAAAAAAGCTGAAAAATATAGGAGTATCAAGACGGACTCAACCTTATTCCAATTTGATAACGGAGGGCGCAAACTTTTATTCTATAAAAAAGTGTGGAATGCAATTTTTAAATCTATTGTGCTTGATTTATTACAAAAATTTTTATTTTAATTTAATGATAAAAATTCGCATGATTGTGTTTGATTTAATTAAAATTTTATAGAATTCATTTGTAATTATACACTTTTTATATACATATTTTTATTTTAAATTATATAACAAGAGGTAATTATCTCTCAAATTATTATCCATTCCACTTCTCTCATTTGTACTGAAAAGAGATTATTATACTTATACTTTGATTTGATTAAAAAGTATGGAATTTAATTCTGAATCTTTTAACCAAAATAATTCCTAAACATTTAAATAGGCTAATTCAAATGCTATCAATTTTAATGAGTTCTTTGATAAACATTTTTAATGAAATTTGGTAATGACGTCTATATTTTTAATGATTACTAAATACTCTTCCATTTTGAACTCTCTCACTCTCATTCACAAATAATGAGGTTATTTTTTATTAAAAAAATAATTAGAGTATGAAATACAATTGAATTTCCCAAAAACTTTTTTTTTTGTTCAAAATAAGTATAGAATTGAGTTAACTATAAAATTTTTCCTAAACCTCACCATTTGTGCGGAATTAGTCTAACAAATTTCATGATTTATAAGTTTACAATTAAATTCCACACTTTTTAATTAAACCAAACATAATAAATATAGGTTAACAAAAAGAAAAACATAAGAAGTATAGAATTATAAATGACTTTCACAAAACTTTGATAAAACTAAACATAAGGGTATGAATTATGGAATTCAAATAATTAGTTTTTAATCAAACTAAATATAATGATGATATAGATTGAAAAACGAATTACACAATTTTTTGTGGAATTTATTTAAAACCAAATATTAGGTGTTTGGATTAACAATTCAAATCAGTAAATAACTAATAAATGATATCTAATGATCCATAATTATTATTGTATATAATTTAAATATTTTTTAAATTTAATTAGTCTAAACTACTAATTATTAATTTCAAATCTCTATACTAAATACGCTTAAAAGAGACAAACAAAAGCGTGATAATATAATTTATTTGGTGCATACATATTAAAGATTAAATCTTAAACATATGAATAAAGAATACATGTAACTCTATTATCAAACTACATCATTGATGGTATGTGATAATATACATATATTTATCATACTAGATTATGATTGTAAGTTTTTAATACCACTTAATATAATACCATTTAAGATTTTAAACTACAAAAACTTATTTATAATTGTAATTATTAGTAAATGAGTAAATAGGTACAATAATAATTATATTATAGTATTTCATGATTATAAATTGAAAATATTATGTAATATTATAAACACATAACGTAAAACAATATCGTAGTAAAAGCTAATTATAGTGCTTGCAAATTTGACAAGTTTGTTAAATATGTTTCAAAACAGAAACAAAATGCATATAATACTTCTTCTAGTCATATTTAATTGTCCTATTTTATTTATTTATGATTGCTAAGGCTTTATTTAGAATGAATGTAATTTTGAATGCGTGGTTTAGTTTTCAAAAATTTAAAATCCTTAAAATAAAATTAAGAAGATTTATAAATTAATTACTGTGAAATTTTAAGTTTTAATTTTAAAAATTTATGTCTAATTTTTTGTTAATTTTAATTTTTAATTTTAGTTTTTAAAATTAATAATTATTAATTATTAATTTTAAAAATCAAAACAAAAAACTAACAGTTACAATTCCTTGACATTAAGCTTAAAAAATTAGGAAAATGTACTGCAATCTTCGTTTGGCAGTATAGAAAAATGTAGGAGAGGTGGTCTAGATCCATGTCCCACTGCCATGTGGATCCCCATCTATTGTTCCACTCACAAAATCACTCCACCTCTCCCACACTTGCTACTTTGAAGTGGTAATGGAAAGTAAAAAGTAGAGACCAGTGCTCTTAACTTCGAGAGACATGCATTCTTGTAAATTCAACTACAAACAAGTACTATTGGTTCTTTATGTCAAAATAAAAATTAAAAAATAGGTTCTTAATTTAAATAAGTGTTTTAATAATTTCTTGACAAATATTAACCACATATATTTTTTGTATTGGTCAACTTACTCCATAATTCAAATTATATTCAAATTACATTCTTTTTTTAAGTTGGCTGGCAATTAATTTTATACTAATAGTTATACTACTTAAATAATTCCTAAAATCTTCAATTTGTAGAACTTATATATATATTTTTTTCTTTTTCCCTTTTTTTTGGTCTTATATATACCAAGAAATTAAATGAGAAGCTTTTCTTAGTAAAAGAATTAAATAAGAAGCATCTTTTTTTTTTTTTGCTCAAACAGTACTTGTATTCAAACCATCCATAAAAATTAATATTTTTCACATTTTCATTTTTTATTATATATCAAAAAATGATCAGCTTTGCTCAAAAAGGGAATTCTTTGTTGTGCAGTTTGTGTTTCCAAACCTAGAGGAGCTGGAATTGTTACGAATTAATGTTGACATGATTTGGATAGCTTCTTACTGTGTTGAGAACCTTACGAAATTGATAATTCATGGCTGCGATAACTTGAAATACCTATTCTCATCCACTATGGCTAGAAGTCTAGTGAAGCTTGGACACCTTGAGATAGAGGAATGCAAGATGATGACAAAGATTATTTCTAAAGAGAATGAAGAAGAAAAGGGGAATTTGATTTTCCCTGAGTTGAAATTTCTACGGTTAATCCATCTCCAAAACCTTGTTAGCTTCTACTTTGGAGACTCTACCAACACAGACGTTGCAGCAGGTATTCAGCCTTTCTTCAACGAACAGGTATGTCTTCATTTCATTTGCATTTTGTCTTTCAAACTTTGGGAGCAATCTAATTTTCCTTCTCCTTTTTCTCTCAATGGCATGATGTGTTGCTTTTATTATTATTATTATTATTATTATTATTATTCACAAAGAAATGGATAGAAAATTAGGAAGAAGATGAAAAGCAGAACTTAAACTGAAAATGGAGAGAAGTACAACACTCCTTATTGACAAACTTTGCTTTATATCTGGGCTGGGCGTTTCGGCCTGCAATCGCAAAAAAGCCCGTACCCGCCCGCAACCGCAACCGCAACCGCAACAAATGGGTTGGGTTTTTTTGTAATCGGTTGAGCTGAGCATCGGTTGCGGTTGTAACTGAAGGCCCAAGCGAGCAGTTGTCGGCTCCTAGGCCCAACAACCGACAACCGCATGTGTAGGCCCAGACAACCGACAAGCCTTGCCTTCTTTTTTTTTTTTGTATTTTCTTCTGAATTTTTTTACTTCCTAATCCTACCCTTCTGCTTGCTTTTAGCTTTTCT